GTCTCATGTACTCCTTGGCTTACAGCCCTAAATCAAGGCAGTCTCTTTCCGTTTTTTAAGTTGTGAGGCTGGCTATTTTCTCAAGCCTGAAATTGGTATTATCACTCTGATACGGTTTTTCATGGTGATTCACTAAAACATATTTCTTTTTCTTATGCTTTTGAAAGTTGTGAAAAATGAAACAACATCTGCATTGCACTGTAAGTTGCATTGAATAAAGCTATATACTGGTTGAGTCTTTCTTATCTGGAAATTCAAAATCCGAAACACTATGAAAACCAAAACTTTTTGCCGCCTGTTGTCAATGTCTACCTTTGGAGAAAGCAAGCTAATCACATGGGCAGTGTCCACTGAGTTTTACCTTAAGGCTCCCTGATAAGGGAAAGAACCCCCACCCCCTATAAACAGCACACATTCAAGATGCTTGCACTCTTTCTTTCTGCCTTAACACTGGCAGCACACAGCAGGGCAGGCACCCTAGATATGCCTGTATGGGAGAGCACAGATCAGACTCATTGATACCATTTGTAACCAGCCCTGAGAGAACAAAAAAGTCTTTCAGGGGGGCATTTGCTAAAAGGGTGAAAAGCAAGCTGACTGACCATGTATAAAAATTCAGTAAGCACTGAAATGTGGCCAGCCCCCCATTGCCTCTATATTATCATCCCTGTTCATATATATATATATATAAAAACAAATATTCCAAAACTCTGGGGGGGGGGGGGGGATAAAAAAAACATCTAAAACATTTCAGATTTTTTTTTGTCGTGTCAGTAGCAACTTGAGAAGCTGCAAGTCGCTTCTGGTGTGAGAGAATTGGCAGTCTGCAAGGACGTTGCCCAGGGGATGCCTGGATGATTTGATGTTTTTATCATCCTTTTGGGAGGCTTCTCTCATGTCCCCGCATGAGGAGCTGGAGTTGATAGAGGGAGCTCATCCGCCTCTCCCCGGATTCAAACCTGTGGCTTGTCGGCCTTCAGTAGGTTAAACAGGGGTTTAACCCACTGCGCCACCGGGAGCTCCATTTCAGTTGAGGAGACTCAACTCATATATTAATTAGCATATATTAATATCTGCCAGTTATATGTCACTGTGGAAGAACATACAGGTCAAGAACAGGGCTCCACAGTCACCTATGTACCCAGCACCAAGACAAAACACTTGGAAGACCATCATACTTGGACAACGAGGGATCACCTAAGTAAGTAAGTATCTGCCAGTTATCTTATCCACTATAAGAGTTAAAGAATATAAAAGCTTTTTTTAATTATAAAAGCATTTTTCAAGCAGCTATAGGATATGCGCATCCATTATCATTTGGCTACATAAAACATTACAGAAGTGGACTTTGATGCAGACAAGGCAACTTTTCTTCAATGTCCTATATTTAAAGAATTCTGTGTTGCTCTAAAAAAACCCAAGCCCCAGAATTGATTTTGGTAGCACATAAGGTTCAGTTATGAAGGTGAAGGATTTATTAACCAGTGGTGTCTGCTATATCAGCAGACAATAACTGCAGTATATATATTTATGATTGATCACAATGCTGATACAGAGATTTTTTTTGGGAAAGTGTAGGGTAGTGAGTGCCTCAATGTTCTTTTCCAGTGTGAAATTCCCCATCCTTTGACCATGTATGGGATAGAAATTAGTATAATGGGGGTACAAGCAGAATTGGGGCCAGAAGGATTAGGAATATATAATATTTCTTTTCTTTATGGAATGCAGCTCATTCATGCTTCAGATAATGAGTAATTGTGTCTTGAAAGTAATGGGGGAAAGTAACACAGACTTCCTATCCATTCAGATATCATGATGTATAGTGCACCCACTGAGGTATGGAGAAGAAAATTCTTTGTTGCACTGTATTGTAAATTTTGGACTCATACTACAAATGCATGAAATTGGTTCTCAGTTTTTAAGATGGGTAGCTGCCAATTATGAAGTGCTTTGGGGCCTCAGTCCAGATATATGATCCACAGGATACCCATTATCTGCCCATGCCCGGCTGCTCAACAGATAATGGGCAGCCTGCTGTGCTCATCTCTGGATTATCTGCACATGCTTAACTTCAGCACCAGTCACCCATGTAGTGGAATGATTTAGTCATCTTTAAAGTCAAGGACCCAATTTCCTCAATGTAGAATGTGAGATATATATATATATATATATATATATATATATATATATATATATCCATTTTGCCATGAAAAGGTGGATCCTGCAGAGAATTATTAAAAGAGGAAAGCACATCATAGTGACATAAAAACTTCCATGCTGACTTTGGGTGAGACAAGATATATTTTAAAATGTGTGTTACATTAATAAAAGATTAACTTAATATGCCAATTATCTCTTCAGTGTAAAATTTCTCTCCCCACACACTCAACCCTCCACTTACATTCAGCAATGGTGGAATTTGGGGAACTATTTTAACAGTTTGATCCTTTTAAATATTTTATGTGAAAAAGAAAACTTGACACAAAGGAAACTCTGCGTTTGCTTAAAATTAGTTCACCTTTTCTCTGTTTAATACATTCCCCTATTATATTTGCTTCAGAAAAAGTTTTCTTTTTTATACCAAAAAAGTAAGATCTCAAATAAGACATTTAAAAAAAGGATATTCCATTTGATATAAATGGGTCCCCTTATAAATGAAACAATTCTCTTTTACATATCATTGACCAAGACAATTTTAACTGCCTCTCAAGCATATTTAACAGTCCATCAAGCCAAATATAGTTCTCCCATCATTATGTAGTACCCCATTAGGGACCTTTTGATACTGCATTATATGGTCAGTGTAGATTCATATAGTCCAGGCTAACTGCATTGAACTGCATGACATGAGTACTCTTATACGGCAATGGAGATAACAACAACAACAACAGCAGCAACAATAATAATAATAATAATAAACAACTTTATTTATACCCCGCCACCATCTCCCTCAACGGGGACTCGGGGTGGCTTACATGAGGCCAAGCCTGAACAACAGATTACAGCAAAATAAAACCAAAAACACTAAGCAACAAACAACAGCATCATAATTACATGAAAACAGATGAATACATTAAGCAATATAAAATTACAATAAACACAATCACAATGACAATGGGCAGGCCGCATGTGCAGGATAAAATGTTAAAAACTCAGGGTGAGATAACGGAGGAACAGGTTATTTGCAAAGGAGAGCTCATAAAAATGGGGTTTTAGAACCAAACTTTCCCACAAGTGGGGGATGTGTACTCCAGTGACAGAAACATTGAAAGGAGCAGTAGTGTGAGGTTATGTACCTACTCACCAAAGGCGCAGTGAAAGAGCCAGGTTTTAAGGTTCTTTTTAAAGGTTTCTAAGGTAGGGGCTTTCCTAATCTCTCCGGGTAATGAGTTCCAGAGTCGGGGGGGGAGGGGTACCGAGGAGAAGGCTCTCTCCCTTGTGCCCACAAGACAGGCCTGTGAAACTGGTAGGGGCGAAAGGAGTGCCTCCCCCGGAGATCGAAGGGCCCGGGCTGGTTCATGGAGGGAGATACGGTCAAGAAGGTAGGCGGGTCCCAAACTGTTTAGGGATGAAGCTGGATTTATACTATCATACAATGCAATTTCAGAATGCAGATGAGCTAAATTGAACTAGATTATATGTCAATGTCTATCCAGCCTTAAATTCAGATGGAGATACAAGGATATTGTTTGCACTATATTTATACCCCTTTGAGACCACTTTAGGTGCATTCTAGGGCTGGGCGGTTTCGTTTCGTTAATTCGTAATTCGTAAATAATTCGTTAATTTTTTCAATTACAAAACGATAACGAACCATTCTGGAGCAATTATTAAAAAAACGAATTTTCAAAAACGTTTTGTAAATGCTTCGTATTTCGATATTGTATTCGTTTCGTTATTGTTTTGAGGTCGTTTCGTTATTATTTCCGCATGTCTGGGCCAGTTTTATGGTTTAATTAGTTGAAAAAAAATTATAATATCACACCAACAGTCAACAACAGAGGGAGAGGGAAGCTTCAGAAGGTTTTGGAGGTTTTTTAGCGTATTTCGCGGTCGCGTCCGCCATTAACGAATCGATTCGTTATTGTTTCGGAAATCGATTCGTTACTTTTTTACCATTTACGAAATTTCGTAAATATCGAACTTTTTAAAAGGAAAATTTTGTAATTATTTTAAATATTGAAACAAAAAAAACCCCCAAATACAAATCGATTTTAGAAACAATTTTTTCCGTTGTTACCCAGGCCTAGTGCATTCCACAGAGCCATAGGGTTTATAGTTCAGCACCCTGGCAAGCAATTCTAAATACCTCATAACATTCCATAGACCTTTTCACAGTGCACAATGAAAGTGCTATTATTCCACTTTAACTACCATGGGATTATCCTGTGGAATTCTAGGGTTTGTTGCTTGATGAGGCACCAAACTTCTCTGGGTGAGAATACTGGACACCCTTCCTCTAAACTAAATATCTCAGGATTCCAGAAGATGAAACCATGTCAATTAAAGTGGGAACATAGCATTACTACCTTTTCACATGAAAGCGGCCCACATTTCTATCAATGACTGGTGGTGAACATTTGGCTTGGTGGGTCACTTGGTGAGAACAAGAATCCCTACAAAGGTTTGCCATGGATTCTGACCATCTTTATGTTGGGAATCTCTTTTTGATAATATTTGAAGGCCTAATAATCACACAATGCATCACTGATACTGGTAAGTCCGGGGTGGGGAAGGAAGGTGCAGTTTAACATAACCATGGTAAATAAGGTTTCATGGGGAGATGGCCCTTTTCCTTGAGCTAGATGTGAGAGAAATTGTTCTCTCGATATGGAGCAATTTAGAGCAGTTCATGGATAGTGAGATCTGGACCGCGGATGCAGATAACAAGATCCAACATGTAGATAGCGAGTTTTAGCACCAAGCTGCAGAGTCCGTGCCTGACAGGACTCAAAGCTACAGCCCACTGTAACCTAATCAAAGGAGTCTCACCAGTTGAAGCAGAAGCCACCAAGGAAATTTATTCAATCAGGACAGAAAGGATGACACCCAGTGGTAAGCTGCTCAAATAAGCTGACATGCATTGTACATTTCAGTCTTTAGTTTTTTGCAATGTATCATCTGGAGCTGGCTGCTGCTGCAAGTCTTCCTCCGGCAAGCCATTGGGACTCTGGGCTCCCAGTTAGCAAGGTCCAAATTTCCCGCCATGGTCCAAAGGAAGATTTTGTTGAAGGGGGTGGGTGGGTCTTGGACTGACATCACTCTTAAGTAAGCAGGTCCCCAAAGCATGTAGTAAATAAATCTTATATCTATGGGCCTTGCTAAACACTGGCAATATTTGCCCTGATGCCAGTATCTAGACAGCAGTCTAGCAGACCTCTTTGGAATTAACTGTCATTTCCAATTGGTCTTCAGTGACATTCAAATGTCCAAAGTAGTCCAAGATAGTTATCAAAGCATAAAAGAAGTTATGTACTGCCCAGGCCCGTAGCCAGCATTTTGATTTGGGGGGTGCTGAGTTTGATTCAAAGGGGGGGGGCTGAGGATCTACCCTAGCAAACCTTTTGTATCATTATCCCAATAGCACCGTGCATATGGGATATATTGAGCATGGTGATCAGATCATGATATGAATAAACATAACAGTTTAAATAATGTACCAGTAAGGCCTTCTCGTGGACAACCCTGAGCATTTCGAGGGGGTGGACTGAAGCCCCTCAAGCCCCCCCTCCCCCCCCCCGGCTACATGCCTGGTACTGCCAGTTTATCTTTTTGCTTCTCCAAAGCACCTGTATTTGCTAGGAATTATATACATTTTGATCGCTGTCTTTTTCCCCAGATGTCTTGAATGTGATCTCTGTTCCCTGAAAAAAAGAAAGAAAAACAGTATAATAAAATCCACCAACTTCTACAGGGCCAGGTATCATATGGTTCTCTAAACAGTATGAGACTAAAATTCACATAATCTCTAGTTAGCATAGCCAATTATAGGAATTTCAGTTCAACAACTGACAGCTTTGTCAGTATATATGCTGTGTTTCAATGCTATAGAATAGTGAAATTTGTATCTTGATGATGCACCAGTAGTCTTTGGCAGAGAAAATGAAAGACCTTGTAAAAGTACAGCTGCCATGATCCCATCACATTGAATGGTGTCAAGCTGCATTAATACTACAGTGTAAATGCATCCTTAGTCTCCTATACCTGCTAACTTTGATAGGGATTTTTTTAAATAATATATGTTCAGCTTGTCAGAAGTGCTTACAATGTGATATAGTTAATTTAGTACACTGCTATTTAGAAGTATACTGACATAATATAGTTGAAGTAAGACATTACATTATTTCATGTGAGACAGAAAGAGAGAATGATGAAAAAACCATAATAGCTAGGTTAAATTCAGGCTCTCCTTTCTCACTACTTTAATCATGAAAAATGCCTCAGGCTGACAGAAAGGCAGGCATCAGCATTGCTTAGTGAGGGGAGCTTAGGTCTGTCAGCCTTCTTATCTTGTTCAGGTGATAGCTATTATCTTGAAACATAAACATTAAAATGGAACTATAATTCTACCTTAGTCCTCTAGATGATCTCCAGTTGCTTTTCAGCTATGAAAGGATTTCCCTGATCACAGACAAATATACTATTAGTAGAAATACAAGAATTAGAAAAGACGGATAAAATTTCATGTAGCACTAGGGATAAGAATTAATAGAGGATACGAATGAACATTTAGCTATTGCCTGGAGATGTATTGCATATCCCCATTTCATAAGCCAATCATGTTGGTGGGCTGATATTTTAATACAGTTTATCAATTAGTTATCTAAACATATTTTAATACAATTAAAAAAACTTGATTATGTTTGATGATTACACCATGGTTTTTTCTAACAACTTAAAGGTTCATACATGTAGAACACAGCAAAAATATTTGAAAAGTGTTAATCTTCCTTCCTTCCCTCCTTTGCTTTCTTTCTCATTCCAAAGCATGATTTTTAAATAATGAGAAACAATACCACTACTTCGATGATTTTAGCATCAAGAGCATACATATGACAATTCTTTAAGGAACAAGTGAAATTTACTCTAAACTCTTCTTATGAGGGATGGTCATTTCACATTATTGGCCATCTGATGACCTTTTCTATATTTTTGAATTGGGGAGGGGGAATGGAGATAAATCAAAAGTAATGAGGGATACATTACAAAGAAATATTGCAATGTGCAACCTTTTTAATGTGACTTCTCTAACTTCTTAGCATGCATTGCTTACCTCATTCCTCCTTCATCCTCACATTAAAACTAATTAGTCTCTAATTTTCTTCATGAAGTAATCAATAAGGAGCAATTTTAAGTTTTCCTCACACTTCAAAAGTTGTTCCAAAATAATGCTGCTCTCAAAGCCATTTCACAAACTTCAAGAAACTGCACATTTTTATCATGTTTCATACTTCATGCAATAAAATCATTTGCATAAAACATACTTAATAATAATAATAATAATAATAATAATAATAATAATGATAATAATAATAATTAATGGGGGTTGACCATATCCGTGATGGAATGTCTTATGCTGGAGCAACCAAAGTGGATTACAAAAAGTTTGTTGACAGGAAGAGGGCAGAGGAACCAATTTTAAAGTAGGGAATGTGGTTTACTTGTCCACCAAGGTTTTGAGGACCACTCAACCATCTCAGAGGTTAGCTCTGAGATTCATTGCCCCTTTCCTGGCATTGTCCCTTTCCTGGCAATAGGGGTGTTTCAGGGATTGGTAACCTTGTGGCTGTTCACCTGAAGTTACTGCATACTTACTCTGTTCCATTGCAGCCTACTCAAGCCTGCATGTACCATGTCGTGATGGAGGCTGCATGAGGACAAGTCCATCCCTTTTATGGTGCGGCTCACGCACATGTCAAAATTTCTAACACTTTTGACTCTGAGAAATATCATGGGAAAGCCCAGTATTTTGTGAAATGGACAGCCCACATGCTTCATCCTGAGTAGGTCAATGTTGATCATGTGCACATGCCCAGACTAAAGAGACTGTTTCATCGAAAATACCCACACAAGTCTAGTGGCTAATTTTGTCTCTCTGAGTGTTGTTGTCTCTCTTTTCTGCAGGTGGCAGCATATTTCCAGGAGGGGAGTAATGTCAGGGAGCTGATTCAGGCATGAGAATTGACTGAATAGTCACCCTGACATGAATGTCCAAAGATTGTGGGAAGGGAGGCAGAGAACCAAGGAGGGGAATTGGGCGCCTGACCTAGGTTGTTATGGAAATGGATGAGCTGGGGATTTTTAAAAGTAACCTGATCTGGAGAGGGTGAGCTTCAAAAAGTATATAGTGAGAGGTTTGAAATATATTAGAATTAGCTTCTTTTGCATCCTTACAAGTAGGAAAATAAAGCCCTGCTTCTAGTAATTGCTATTGTGAGTGGTGTTTTCACTGGATCTTTCACTGCCCTATATCCCATGATCTGATCCCAGATTATCTGCTTATCCCAGATTATCTGGCAGTGTTGGCTCATATTGTCCAGTTCAAAGCGGATCATATGGGATCAGAGCCTGGGATATAGGATAGCATAAATCCAGCCTCAGACCCCATTTACACTGCCATATAAAATCCAAATTATCTTATCTGAATTTGATTGTATGGCAGTGCAGACTCCTATAATCCAGTTCAAAGCAGATAATATGGATTATCTGCTTTGATAATCTGGATTGTATGGTAGTATAGATCCAGCCTCATTGTGTCAAGACACCTTTTTTATTGCAGAGAAGGCAAACTACAAGCAAACTACCTCTATTTGAAAACAGCCAAGATCAGAAAGCTGGTGAGTAAGAGAATGAGCTGCTATTTATGGTGGCCTCATCTTTAATCTTACTTTTGACTAGGTGGTTTTAGTCAAGCTCAACTCTTTCAGCATTAGTTCTTCCCATCCAAAATAGGGGTGTTATTCATATTGTTTTATTGGCACCAAACCTTGTTTGGAGTGCAGGGGCTTGCAGAAACTGATTTATTTTATTGCAAAAAATAAACCAGACATTTTGCAAAGAGTAAGGAAAGAGTTATGAAACAACGGAAGTTCATATGAGTGCAAGGAATCACCCAAGAAACTGTGTAGTTACCTGGTATTTTTTTTAAAAAAAGAAATAAATGAAAGGAAGCTAACTGAATAAAAGTGACAAGTTATGGCTCTACAACCAGAGATTCTCTCTATGTTCTCATCAGAGTTCAATGACTTACACTTTGGGAATGGGGAAGGCAAGTGGAAGAAAGAGACATCCACATCATGTCCATATCCCAAATTCACTGCAGCAGCACATTTGATGTTTTGCACCACTACCAACACTGGAAGAAAGTGCTTTCTGCAGGCTATTAACAAGAATGCCCCATGCGTAGAAAGGGATAGCCTAACAATCACTTGAGCACTGGTTTAAAATGAGATTGAGATGACACCATGCAATCAGGAGTATTTACAATCATGGTTAGGAAGCTGTGAATACATGCCTAAACCCTCATGCAATAATCTCCTAATGAACCGCTTCAGAAGAAGGGGGAAGTGACCTCTGCAGGCAGGAAGAAAACAAAAAGGTTTGAGCACAGAGATAAAATAGAGAAACAAAGGGGTAATACAACCATTCAGGCATGGTCTCTAGACCTCCCTTTGTCACTAATTATGCTGTACAAGCATTGATGCCTCTTAACTTCCAACAATTAGTCTTAATAATCTTTATCAACTAACATACTTAATCAAAGGCTTATTCTAGCACTCTACATCCATTTTTACAAGCAATCTATCCTAATAAAAAGATCTCAGATAATACATTATTTCCTCTTTATAATAAGGCAGCCCTCCCATCTTTTTTTAACCTACCTAATACCTCTTCTCATTATCTACTGTTCTAGCAAAGCTACAAACCAAATGTGTATATGAGTATCATTAATCTCCTTTCATATGAATCAATCTGGTTTATATTCAACATTTCATATAATTTATCACATTTTCAGACCTTTTAAAATTTGATATGATAAAATATTCTTTCCCAAGACAAATCCAATATCCCACGTCAGATGTTAAAATAACCTGTTATCTTTAAAGCAGTAGAAGGCAAGCTTCTACATTTGACTCTTACACATATTTAAATCTGTATTGTTGAAGGATTTTGTGGCCAGAATCACTGGGTTGTTGTAGGTTTTTTGGGCTGTATGGCCATGTTCTAGAAGCATTCAGGGGCGGCTCATCCATTACGCGAAGTAAGCGGTCGCAGAACACTTTTTTTTGCCAGGGGCACAGAGGCGCCTCTGTAAATGCCCCTTGACTGCCACTTGAGGAGCTCACAACAGCCCTAGCAGTCTGGGGGGAACCTCGGCTTTCTTGCCTCGCTGCTGGGCGATCCTCTTCCCAAAGGGGCCGGGCCCTTGACCCTCGCCTAGCCCCTCTCATTCCTGCTCCACCTGGCCACTGGGTGCGCGAGCAGAGCAGGCGCTCAATCGTTCTCCACATTCGATCCCTTCCCTATGACCAGCTCCCTTTCCCGATCCCCTGGTGCTCCACCCGCCTCCTCTCCTCTCCCCAATCCGTGGGTGGGCCAATGGGCGAAGTCACCACGCCTGGCCCGCTTCGGGTCTGGAGGCGTGTCTGAAGACCCCAGCGTGTGCACCAAAAGTCGCCTCTTCTCCTGACTTTCTCTTCAGCCATTGGGACCAAGAGAGAGAGAGAGAGAGAGCCCCTCCGGCTGGAGGTATCTCCCACCTCCGCTCCCTCCTTTGTTTTTGCGCCTACCTTCAGGAAAGGTGGGCATCTCCACCTCTCTCTCTCTCTCTCTTTCTTGGTCCCAATGGCTGAGGGGAAAGAGGTGACTTTTGGTGTATACGCCAGGGTCTTCAGGCACGCCTCTGGACCCAAAGCGGGCCAGGCAAGGGAGCAAGTGCGGCAAGTGTAGTTACTGGGATGTATAGTTCACCTACAATCAAAGAGCATTCTGAACTCCACCAATGATGGAATTGAACCAAATATGGCACACAGAACTCCCACGACAAACAGAAAATATATATCAATGATTGGTTGGGGGGGGGCGCCAAAATACTGTTTGCTTACCGTTGAAATTACCTAGGGCCGCCTCTGGAAGCATTAGCTCCTGATGTTTCGCCTGCATCTACGGCAGTCATCCTCAGAGGTCGTGAGGTCACAACCTACAATAACCCATATTTTGATCTCACATAAAATTACAAAAACTCAGCCCCTATACTTTTTTTTTGTCGTGTCAGGAGAGACTCGAGAATCTGCAAGTCACTTCTACTATATTCAAAAGTCCTGAGATAAATAAAGTATCTCATAGGCCATGCCCACCCACATCCTGTACACCCTGTGCATTTTCACATCTTTTTCCACTCCCTAGGAAGAATAACCCCCTTCTCCATTCTTGCCACTTTTGTTATTTCTTTAACTTATGACATGCAAATATCCTCTCTGCTTTAAAGCATCTGTGATATTTCAAAATGCATCTGAGAAAGTGAACTTAGTCTATAGAAATGTATGCTACCAACTTCTTCCTCGCAGTTAGTCTCTAAAGTGCTGTAAGATTCCTTCTTTAAACATTATCATCTTTAATTC